TTAATAAAGGGGAGGAGGGGATGGTATAAGGAAAGGATTATTTTAGCAAGGGGAAACATTTTCAGAGTTCCTGCTCTGGCATTCTTTACTGTGAGACCAAGGGAGTTTATTCGGGTTCGGAGGAAGAGAAGGAAGAGCCTTGTTTCACTTTGCATTAATGGGCGAGAGCAACACCTGTACTGGGAGCTCAGGTTTCTGCTAGCAGTACGTACAAACAACTTCCTTCTACAGACATTTTAGCTTGGATTTTCTGAGCCCGGCTTTATTCTTGCCATTTGCCTGGCCCTACTGGAAGGGCCTCTAAGGCCAGTGGCAGCCTTCTCCAGCGGTGAGGTGGTACCAGTCCCGAGGGGGCGGACAGGACAGCCCCACCGCAGCATCCCCTGGCCACGTCAGGGGTTAAAGACGGCTCCCTGCCTCTTCCCACCGCCTCATGGGTGCTTCGCCCAGCTGGTAGAGGCAAAAAGGAGGGATTTAGGGAGAAGCCTTGCGGCTCTGTGCCAAATCCTCCTCCTCATCTCCTAAAATCCCTGCGTGAGCAAACTGGCAGCAGTTACATGGATGAGATCAGTGGTGTCTGCTGCAAGCCGACAGGGCTGAGGACTCCTGGCAGCAGGGAAGCCCTCGCTGTCTGCGTGGCCCTCCTGGGCACTGGGGAATTACCGGGAATTGCCACTTCTTGGATCCCGCTGAAGGTTATTCCTGTGGAGCGGGGACCTGCAGCAGCAGGGGGGATGCCTGCAATCCTATATGGGGTCATCAGCACAGCACCCGCCTGACCAACAGAGACAAACCAGCAGTACCAATAGCTGTTTTACACCTGGCTAAACACATATACAGATCTGTGACTTCAGTATGGACCCCTGAGAGAGCCGGGCAGGCTGCAAAGAGGTTTTAGAGACTCACCCTTGCACAGGAAAGCAAAAATCAGAAGCTATGTGCTGTTTCCCTCAGCAGAGAGTTGGTGCAGCAAAAAGCAGCTTACCTCCAAGTGCTTTCTGCCACTGTCTAACAGGATGAGATTCCAAAGACTTGGGTTTCCAGAAGCCTCTCAAATCCCACAGGTGAATCCAAATCTTGCCTGGGAGAGTTGAACCCACTCATGTCACCTCCAGGCCGCCTTCTCCCACAGGTATCAAAAAAATACGCTATCAGTTTAACACCATCGACTTATAGGGACACCACAGTCTTCAACTACCCAAAATGGTAGCAAGTGGTTAAAAACCAAATCCCCTCCGAAAGAAAAAATTCAGAAAAATCTTCTCCTCTTCTAAAACACTCCCCTGCAGAGCCTTTCCAACTTTAAAATAGCTTCATAAGGTGAGGCTGTGGTGCTCCTTATATTTACTCCCAATAAGTGCATCCATTCCTTTTTAATTTTAATTGCCCTGCCAGAAGGTGTCTTCTCAACGAGATCTTAATTAAGAGAAGTAGCCTGTGGAAGCAGTGTATTGGATCCACCTGGGACAAATTGAAATAAATGTCCTCCCCCTCTCATTGCCCTTCATTGTAGCCTTGATATTCGCTTCAAAAAAATCTTCTTTTACTGCTTGCTGTTGTTTTCCGGCTGAGTAATTTAAAAGTCTAGCTAGATACCGTTATTTCTGCTCCAGGTGATAAAAGCTATATAAATATCTTTTTTTTCACCTGCAGAGCTAGGATTCAGTAGAGCCTATGGATGGACAGTTAGCTCCAGTATCTTCCTCTGTAGTTCAGATATGTATGTTCGGGGTGCCCATTTCATTCCCTAGGTACCTATGCCATATATTTAACATGTCTTTAATAACTAAAGCCACCTCACCCATCTCTGTCCTACCTAGGGGAGGAGCCAGGTCCCACCGCCAGGGGCAGGTGCGTGGTGCGGTAATAACACGGCTCCGTTCTTCCATACACCAAAGATTTTAGTATCTGTTACTGCTTCCATTAAGTTACTTTAAGGCCAACAATAAAGCAAACAATGTGCATGCATGTGTGTTTAATATACATGATAATCTGCAGAAGCACCATTTCCTTGGTTCTTGTGGAGACGTTGCTGGCGCTGGGCTCTCGAGAAATTCACAGCAATGGAATTTTTTAAGGGTTTGGGTTTGTGCTTTTTTTTTCCCCTCTTAAGTTATATGAAAGCTTTCTATTCATCACAAAGATTTATTGATTGTTCTAGGGCTATGGGATAATTAAATATACAAAGGCTTGGCAGTTGTAGTAAAGAATATTCTTTTAGAAAATGCTGACAAAATGTTAAATCCAAGGAATTCCACTCCTAGTACTCTGTGGGGTCATACGTAAGTTCAGTGCAGGGGATATAAATATACATGACACGACTGAAAAGTCAGGTATATGACTGGACTATAGTCATCGAGTTTATGTCTCATTTATCGCTTAGTTACTAAGGTTAGTAACCCCTCCCCCTCACCTCCATTATGCTCATTATTCTACAGCTGACCAAATAATATATTTGTGTCATTCATGGGTTTTTACTCTTATGAGGACTTATGTGCTAGAATTAAATGGAAATACGTTATTCTGCAAGTATCCCCAACTTTTATGGGAAGTAAATTCTTGCCACCCCTCCCCTCCCAGTGCTAACTGTCCAGCTATGAAACAGGGGGCTATCTGCCCTCCGAGTGAGATTTTATTGCTAAAATAAAGTAAAAATTGTTTTAAAACAAAGAACACACATCTTTATAGTAAAACTCAAGTTTGTTTTACAATTAGAGAAAAGAGTCACATGGTCCCCCAAAAAACCCCAAGTTTTTTATATATATATATATATATATTTTGAAAATATATTTAAAAACATAAAAAACTCTATAGTTAAACATATATTATGTTAATCAGTACACTTAAATATAGCTTAATTATATTTACAATATGACGCGGTTGCTTTTAAATTTTAATGCCAATTTCAGTTTTTCTCAAAAAACATAAAATTATATAAATATACAATAAATATTTATGTTACACAAGGTGAATAATAGAGAACAAGGCCACAGACATTAACTTACAGTTGCAAGAGTCTTTACTTTAACACAGCACTAGGCCTGCTGACATGCATGATAATACCTTTGTCACAAACAGACCACAGCAAGAGTTTAATTAAGTGACGTGAAATAAAACCACCCTTCCCCCTGCCCTACCTCGGTTTTAACTAAAGCTGCCAAGCCTGTGACCATGGATGTATTGGGTCAGGCAGGTGAGAGCCATGGGACTGCGGTTTAATTGCGAGTTTCGTAGAGATTCACGTATCAGCAGGTACAGAATTGGCATCTCGTGGGGAGTACCACTCTAGGGTAGTTACAGGAGACAGTTCTTCCGTAGATTCTTGGCTCCATCCCCCTACCCCTGTGGGCTGCCCTTGACTCCTCTGGTCCTACCACCCCCCCCTGTTTTAATTCTGCCACACCAGCACCACCAGGTGAGGATTCGGAGTTAAAGATATAGCCACAATTTACTTTGGGGAAGGAGGAACCTTATTTCTAGCACAATTTACGCATCAACACTTCTCTTTTTTAAATTCAATTTATTTGAACTGGGAATTATTTTCTTCCTCTGTCTGAATTAGATTACTGTCACATCCTAGCTATCATTTCTTTTTCCAGTCTAGATGAGTGATCTGTTTACATTCACTCATTAGCATCATGCTTTCCCCTTCCCAGGCAACTAATCCTGGTTTTGAGGGGAGCCACCATTACTCTGCTGTAGTTTAGGAATATTGCTGAGAACAACTCCTGAGGCATGTTTGGGTTAAATGCAAAGAATTATAATACACATACCGGCCACAGCAAAATGAAATTATCTATTATACCAACATTTAATTTGCATGAAGAACACTTCAGTTGAAGTTTTGAGCCATTTCAGTAATTTTTTATTTTTTTTTTTCATTTCTGACTTCTATGTGGGAGCCTGAATATTTGCAATTGATGGGGAAGGCTGAAGTTTGAAGTTCAGGTGGGTCACACAGCCCTCTCTTCTCACTCCTGGTCCAGTGTGCATGTGGCCAATGCAAAAGTGTTTCACGGTACAGTCGGGATGGTCCTCCTTTGACAGTCAGCTATCCTAGGAAAGGGGAAGTCCTTTTACCCTAAGTAGAAGAAATCCTCAATTTTGAAGGTGTCTGTTTGCTTCCAGCATAGGTTTCTACTAGTAGTGACACAAACTAGTGTTACATATGCTCTTCAAAGAGAATTATTGTGGGGGAATCATCTTTCAAATAAGCTTTGCCCCGTCCAGGTTTTTAATTAACTTCAACAGCAAGGCAGACTAACGCAGATTCTGCAGCATTCAGAAGTAGTTTATATTTTGCAGTATTTTCCTCTTTGTTCAGCTACTTCTCTTCATCTACAGGAATTGCAAATATAGCATCTGCCTCCAGTGAGCTCACCAATGAGCTATTTCTGCCTCTCTGCCCACTGTAGTCGGCACAAGTGCTATGCACAGCTCTCAGGCTTACAACCTGCCTTTTTAGAAATACTTCTGTCAGGATAGTCAGAGGGGTAGCGTGGGGCTAAATACGTCTATTGGAACCTAAGCAACGTTATGCCACCTCCTCCAGCACTTGCTCTTCGCTCACTTCAAGAGTATTTTTTTTTTAATGCCAATACTTGTTTCATAAAACGAGGCTGCCAGCAGAAGTCGAGCCACACCAACAGAAATGCTAATTGCTTTCAGCTAGAGGCAGGGCTTCCTCCTGCCTCATTCCCTAGGGATTTCCCAGGGCTCCTTCGGGCAGGGATGCCACAGCGGTTGGCACACGGCGTGTGGCTGGCCCCGCTCGGGAGGGTAAGGGCAGCAGGGTATAAGGCAAAGGATGCACAGGACCACGGTGTTCAGGTGCTGACTACGATGTGGATAGCCTCAGTCAACCCAAACCACTCTTAACTTGTCCCTGATCTGCCTGAGCTATTCAGTCCCATGACCAACCTGATTGCAGATGCACTATCATCTTTCTAGACCCCTTTTTTTCTGGTCACATTCTTGTGGTGCTTCACCAAGCTGCTTGATCCAAGCACAGAGTCTTTTATTACATGAAAAAATCATTGCTCTCAACACTATATAATAAACTTTACGTGACAACTCCAGTTGTATGGTAAGTGGAATACTTTAAAGATCACAACCAACATCCTTACAGAGGGAAGAAAGGTAAAAAAAAAAAAAAGAAAAAAAAACCAAACACAAACAAACATGGTATAAGCAAATGCAGGTCTCAAAAGACAGCAAATAAAAAAAGAGAAAAATAACCCAAAAAAGCATGTTGCCGTACAGTTAAATAAGTGCTGCCTTTAAGCCTGAAGTTCAACAATGTGAAGTGGAACATCACCATTCTTTTTCAGTTGCCTCTTTTTTTATTATTTTTTTTGTCAGTAGTTGGATTGCTATTGCAAACACCTTCACAACATACAAAAAACAAATTTGTTTTTAATCCAGAGTAAGGTAATGATTTTTTTTTTTTTCTTTTTCAATCTGATGGGAGTTCAAAAGTAAAAGAGAACAGTAAAACTATGACAACAGCACCTTGACATTGTTTTAATTCCAACGCTATCAGAAGTTAAAAGCAGTAAACAGATATAATACTAACAGGAATAAAGATACTTACTGTCTAAAATGTAAACGGAATGTTTTGGTTCAATTTATTTTTCTGAAAGAGGACAGTTTATCATCAATTCACAATTGAAGCAGCATGCAATTTTATTCTTTTTTTTTTTTTAAACTTTTTATATTTTCAATTCTTGGCAACGGCGACAAACCACAAAGTTATCGAGGAATGTAATGCAGACTTTTTGTTTGCTTGTTTTTCTTTTTTTTTGTTTTGGTTTTTTTTTTTTGTTTTTTTTGTTTTTTTTTGTTTTTTTTTTTTTTTAACTTGTGCGCAAATGACTTTTGTTCCCCTTCAGGTCATGGATATGTTCAATAAATAGATTGTGGAACCACTGTACTGTATAAACTTCAGTTATACATGCAGTCCATAAAATTATTTTTTACCGAATAATTTACCCTGTTATGTATATATACAAATAGATAATTTTGTCTCAATATAATCTATACAACACGAATCCACTATCTTCCCCTTTTAATGGTTAATGTACATACACAGGAAGTGTCTATCCTTATAAAGCGCCAGCCAACTCTCTTTTTATTATCCATGGTGAGAGCTCTCACGTAAGACTGGGTAGTTCGGCACTGGGAGTTCCAGTGCCTCTTGTCTATGCCCCTGCAGCCCTCCTTTGTGTACCCTTTGGGGTTGCATTTGGTCTCGTAGAAGTATTGCTTCAGTTGGCCTTTGGGTACTGGGACTTTTTCCAGGACTGTGACGGTCGCCCCGGACATGTCCACTGCAGTCTTTTTCTCTGCTGCCGTCACCCACTCGCTCGTGCTGTCACAAACGCTCAGTTCCCCGCGGCGAGCTGGGTCAGAGTGGCGCCGGACCCTCATGGACATGTTTGCAGCATCCAAGTAGTTTTTGTACTCCTCGAGCAGAAAGAGCAGTGGGGGTTCCAAAGGCACTTGACTGCTTAGCATGACTCGGGATGTGTACAAGTCTGCATCCTTGTTCTCCTCGCTGGGCTGGATGTCCTGGTCCTCGTCTAGGAGCTCCTCTATGACATGTTCAAAAGTGTCCGCCAGCGATGTCAGTCCTCTTGAACCAGCACTGGGCCCATTTAGGCTCTCAAGAGTCCCGTGGGTCCGAAGACCTGGGTAAGCCAAGCTGCCTTGTCCTCTTACACTAGCTTCTTTCATCGGGGCAGCTTTCATGCAACTGAAGTATGAGATAACCATAGTAAGGAAAAGGATGGTCATCACTCTTCTCACTTGGTGGAACTGTTAAGGACAAGAACAAGAAAAAACCACACATTTAACTTACAAGGGATGGAGTAATAAAAATTCACCTGAGTTGTCATGAGACATTATGCATTTCGTTCTAGAGAGATCTGCTGCATGCAGCTGCAACTCATTACTGGTGCTAAAGCATGCTCTTGTACAAGGGTGTTCTTTGATTTAGAGTTTCAGATAAAGCATGTGCCAAAGCTTAGGCAGCACTGATACCAGCAGATCACAGTTCTTACGTGCCAGAGTTTTTCTGTAGTATTAGATTAGATACTGTGCAGACTCCTTTATTTATTGACCAATTACACCTACTTCATGTAACAGCAAAAGCAGAACAGCTATTTAGCAATGCAGCGTTTCAGCAATAAAAGGCAGCTTCATAAGCGTGAAAGGCAAGACTTCCATTTCAAATGCTAATATTTGCTTTTCAAGATCCCTCTATACCAAAAATATTTCATCGTTCTATCCACAGAAAACTCAACAGCATCAGGATAAGTTGCATTTGTAGTTTCAAAGCAACCATCAAAACCCAGGAAGAGGCCATACAATTCTGAGGTCTCCGCAGGTCAACCCCTCATCTAAAAGTAGAAAGTATGTGTGCATAAATATAGAACAAGAAAACGGTTCAGGACAGTATACTAAATTGGAGCTGGACAGACTGCTTACATCATGTGAATGCCATGGAAGGGACATGCCGGATTACAGAGCTGATAAGAGCTAGACTGAACTGATGGTACCAAACCACTGTACCGTACTTGCCCAGAGCCCCAGGCCACCTGTTCTCCAGCGGGCAAAGCATCTATTTAAACCCAGTTAAAACCCAGAGCCCAGCACGAAAACCAAAAGCACAACCAGCCCTACTGCCATACTGAAACACAGCAGTTTGCCCATTCCTCTCGCATTCTGCTGCAAGGTCTGGCATATGGGGGGCCATACTTTGAGGCTTATGTGTACGCTTGGCTCTGTCCTCACCGAGCATGGACGGGTAACGCCAGGAAAGAGTGCCGGTAAGAAAACTCCTCACCGGGCTTGGAATCAGCACGACTCATTTCGCTCAGCGCTCCCAACAGCTTGGGCTTGTCCTTCCCAAGCGCTTTGCTAAGTCTTGATAGATTGTACATTCCTCGGGGTAGAAGCTGTTTCCTCCTCAAGTGTAGAGTATACAGTTTAGGTACTATTACAGCGAGAACCTCCCAAATCCTGCAGTGACAGAGAGCTATATTCTCCGTCTGATCCCAAGTGCTACTACAACATCCATCACATCCAGTTGTTATTTTTCCGCCTTGCAATCCCCGCTCTCACCAGTTCTGCTTGCTAGAAAGCAATGGCATTGTTCACATTTTTGAAGCAGCAGCTAATGCTTGTTTCAGAGCTTTTGAAGTTCATTCGGAAGTACCTCATACTTGGCAGCGCTCATTGGAGTAAATGCTATTTCTGTTTGCCAACAGGGTGCTGTGTAAAAAGCTTTCCTTCGTCTCCTGCAAATATGCTGTGGGAAACTAGTACTCTTACGACTCGAACATGGAAAGACAATCTATCATAAAACATACAAAGAAAATGAAGTATGTACTAGAAAGGCAGTGCCCAAAACGTAGGTCTCAAAGTTTACTTAATGAAGTGGGGGTGGGTGGGAAGTGTTTGGGTTTGTGTCCATGCCCTCCTCACCCCCAGCTCCCTACTAAACAAGATTTTGGCTAAGAGTCCTCTCTACCCCAGCACAACTCTTCCTTCATCCCTCCATCTCTCTTCCTGTTTAAAAGTGTTACTGTGGCATAGATTTATTAAGATTAAACAAACCTGACATCTGTGACTCACAGGAACACAGTGTTTGCTCTAACCATGCGGAACATTAATATTTTGCAGATTTTTTCATCCTAGGATTTTTAAAACATTCTACAGGGAGTAATATCAGATTTCTTCCTCAAAGGGGAGAAAGAGAGACACTGCAGAGATGATTTACAACACAAGGAAGAAGGTTATCAGTCTTCCTTTATCAAACAAGGGGAGACAAGGCAAGAGGGAGAATGGGTGGTTCAACTAGCATACAAATGCAGAGCCAGGGGAACAGGCGACAATAATAATATTCATACACTCCCTCTTCTGAGACTTGTTTTATATAAAACTTAAAAGGAAAAAAACCTCAAACACCCACATCACACTTTGTGACCACCAGAGCAGTGAACAGAACACAGATCTTCTGGCTCCTAATCAAGTTCCTGTTATTTTTATTAGAGTAGTGCCCAGAGGTCCCAGCCAATAACTTGGCTCTGGAGGACAGAGTCTGTCTGAGCACGTAGGACCCCAAAGAGCCTTCCAGTGCGAAAGAGAGAGGACGGAACACAAGAGGCACCAAGACAAGCACAAAACAAAGCGAAGCTTGCACCCATCAGCTAGGTGCACTAGCTGGAGGCTGAACGTTTGCTTTTCAAGTCAGGAAGATGAACAAAGGATAGAAGGATTCCTGGGCCAGGACACATCCTTTGCTATTGTCATCGGGCTGTTCACCTCTCCTGGTGGCAATGAACTTGGAGGGATGTAAAATGAATAGAACTTTGTTTGCCTGGACATTTTTCTTACAAGGAAGGTGACAGAGGACAAGAGAGGTGCAACTGACTTCAATTAGCCCTCAGCACCCTCCACCCATGGTCACCAGATCTAACAGTACTGCATATTCCACATTAAATTAATCCTTCCTTAATCAATTTTGACTTCCATTTAGGAAGGAAACTGCTGTCAAGCTTGATCAATTTACATCCCATCTGCACATACAACTGCCACTATTATCTGCTGTAGCAAGAAACAATGTACAACTATGCTCTGAAAACCAACAGCTTTCAGACAGCCATTATCCACATAACCCACCGGTAATACACAAGAAAATGTGTCCCCCTAAAAGCCACCTCCCTCTTCCATTTATCACTGAAGAAGGGCATGTCAAAGTAAGCTTTAGCAGTGCAGATGCATGGAATACTGTTCGCAAACAAGCGCAGATCAAACATCTACTGCTTTGTAGAGACCCCAGACTAAGCCAAACTCTGCATGCAGGATGTGAAAAGATTCTTTTCTGTATCTTGGCAATGGCTTGAACAATACACACAGTCCTTGTCTTTGGCATCAGGTGGTATCAAGCGACTTAATATGAGAAAGTAATACTTTAACACCTAGGAAATTCCTTTATTTTAGAGGCCATAGCAATTTCTAGTAGCAGTTGCTCAAAACGTACTAGTTTAGCAAGCTCTAGCAGGGTAAGATTTAAATCTCACTCCGTACTTAGAAACACACCACCTTTCAGCTCCTGTTGAACTGACTCATGAATGCATGGTTCATCTCTTTCTTAGTGAGGCAGGACTAATATGTAGCACTAAAAAGGTCATTGGAAACACTTCAGATGGCAGCTGCCAGTCCTTTTACTCTGCTTCCCAACTATCAAGCCTCCACTACATTGCAAAGGCTAACGACAGTGCCTGTCCTGTTACAGTAAGTGCCTCGTAATCCCCAAACACTAACAGATTATGTACACCCTTCTCATTACGAGCAGTCACCATGCCACCCCGCGGGGAAGTGGAACCAGGGTGGGAACATGGAGAAAGCTGGATTTTCCTGTTTTCCCGGCACGCTACTACTGAGCAAGGTACTGCCCCTTTCCACGCTGGGCACATCTGCCACTGTACGGCCTGGCATGGAGATGTGCCAGCATTTCTGTGTACACCCATGCCTGATGCTACCCTGGTAGAATGAGCAAATATTTCCCATGGAGGCTCACCAGTGCTATTTCTTAACTGGAGCCACCTGGCTTACACTGTGTGTTCTGAGCGGATCCATACAACAGTGCCACACAAGACAGAGTAGCTGTGGGCACTTTCAGACAGACATGCAGCTAGAAAAATACAAAACAAAATCACTGATGATACAGCATCAACCTGGAGTCCTATCACGCATTAAATCCCTCCTTGCTCAGCTGTAGGAGGTTCGGGTCTCTACTCCTCGCCTTCTAGGAACAACAGCTAAAGGCTGCAGCCCTTTTGCACTCCTCCTGTTCAGCAATGTCACTGGGCATAAAAGATCAGAGACTTCTCTAGAAGAGAGTCCGCTGTCCCACAGACTGTTGTATACACCCACTAACTTGTATAACAGATATATGCCAGCCTCCTCGAGACCCAGACTTAAACCACTCCCTGAGGTCCCCCAAGACGTCTCTGTCAGAAATCACATTTGAGTGATTCTTCCTGAATGGCATCCGTTCTCATGGCTGCAAGAACGTCCTTCCTTCTCTCACACAGCATAGCAAAGCCGAAGCAATGAAAAGAGGTCACCCACCATGGACCAGATCTCAGGAAGACGTGACCTAGTTTGTACTTCAATGAAGTCCGTACAATTACAGCTAGAATAAGGGCACATAATTGTGGCAGTCGTCTCCACTAATGGGAAGGAGGCTCATTAAATGAAGGTCATGTCAATTATGTACAGCTAGTTTACATATGCAGTCAATTACCTAGCTGTACTATTTATTTCAGTATTTGTATTTAATGAGGATTCACCCGTTAATTGTTTTATTTAATTATTTTTAGTTATTTTAAGCAGAAATCTAGCAGCTTAACAGGTTGTGTTTCCAGCAGAGTGACCTGAGGAACAGCTGTGAACATGTACTTGCTTTTCTGCATCCTGATATGTGCCATGAAAAGTTGAAATAACTTTCAGTAGTGAATAGATTCATAATGCTTTAATCTCCAGAAAGGAGTGTGCGGTGGAAGATAAAATTAGCAGCAAGACGACATTCATTTTCTGCCTTGCCATTTTCTAAGACCTTTATACAAAAGTTCAATTTACTAAATACTACTGAATGGCACAGGCATGAGTTCCCGCTCTACGCATCATTACTGGAGTGTGTGAACAGATACCGAAATGGGATGCATGTCAGCACATGATTTGCAAAGACTAAATGTACTGAGAACAAATAGTATTAACCTTTAACACATGCATAACTGGATGTCTGA